GGGGGGGGGGCCCCCACCCCTGCCCCCAGGGCAGTGGCAGCCCACAGCAGGCGCTCACCCACGTAGCCGGGGGTGCCGCAGGCTGTGGACATGACGCTGCCGCAGCCCTCGATCTTCGACAGCCCGAAGTCGCTGATCATGATCTTGGAGTCCTCGTCCAGGCTGTAATAAAGCAGGTTCTCGGGCTGCAGGGAGGAGGGAGGGTCAGGGAGGGGCAATGCCAGGGTCCCCTCCCTGCCACCATGACAGGGGGCTCTGTGTGTGTGTGTGCATCCCGCCGCTCACCTTCAGGTCACGGTGGACGATGCCCATGTCATGCAGGTACTTGACAGCATCAAGGATCTGCCGGATCAGGGCGCTGGCATCCCGCTCGGTGTAGAAGCCCTTCTCCACAATGCGGTCGAAGAGCTCCCCACCCGAGACCCTGCGGGGACGGGCAGTGCTGGTCAGTATGGCCCCCCTGGGTCCCCTGGACCCCTCTGACATCACTCACAGCTGCATGATGAGGTAGAGGTGGGTGCTACTCTCGTAGATGTCATCCAAGGCCACAATGTTGGGGTGCTTGATCCTAAGGGGGGAGGCACAGGGAGGGGTGAGGGGTCTGCCGGCTGCCCCCACCCTGGCCCCTACTGGACAGGGAGCAGCCGGGCTCGGCCCTGTGGGGCATCACGCGCCTCCGGCTATTTTGGGCACTGCTGATAATGCCCAGCAATGGGTGCTGGCAGCAGGGAGCTGTGACAGGGGAGTGGGGGCGCAGAGAGCGAGACCCCCACCCTAGCACTGGGACAGCCCCTACTTGTGGAGGACAGCAATCTCGTTCTCGATGCTGGTCTCCTTCCCCTCCAGCGCCTTCTTGACGATGCACTTGATGGCCACCAGCTTCCGCGTCGCCTTCTCCTCTGCCAGGACCACCTCGGAGAAGGCCCCCCTGCGGGGGGGGCAGGGGTGAGCCAGGCAGGGGGTGCTGCTGGCCAGAGCCATCGCCGCCATTGCCATGGCGACGGGCAAAAAGTCTAGCTATTTATAGGAGAAAAGCAAGCGGGAGCCGCCCGCTGGGACAGCCGGACACAGGCCCTGCTGGGGACGGCGTGCCCGGCGTCAAGTCCTGCGCCGTCCCCTTATCAGTCAGGGACA